CAAATAAGAGCGACAATTCTATCGTAAAGAGTTCAGAACCCAATTATCGAAAACATACATAGTGTATCATGGCGTAAGCTTACAGTATTCTAAGGTGGCAAAGATGCAGTGCAAAGTTTTGAATGCTTAGTACGAATTTTCTTGTCAGATAAGCGGAAAAAGCACTCATCAGATTAAACGATTTTAAATTTTGCTGCTTAAAAGTGTTCAAAAGTTTTGTTGACAATAATTAACCCTTTGCCTCAACATTTTTTACAGCTCTCAGGATCTATACGAAGAGCAGGTTTCGACTAGGTTTTCTACGGTATGAAGCAATTATCTATCGTTGTTTGTCTGTAAAATTACGTAAAGCTCTAACATATGTTTTATATCCATATAGCTTCCAACAAGGGAGAGGCAAAGTGGCCGATTACTACAAGATGCATAGCGTTACAAAGAGCTTGGTATGCTGGTTCAAAATCTGCCTTCAATAGCTGCAGAACGCTTTGAGGAATGAAATTATGGGCGTTCTTATCACCAAGATTTGCATTTTTGGAGCGCTTAGAAATAATGGAAGTCGCTCAAATTGCTTCTTGGGAGTAACATTCGAATAAGGCTAGCACCACATTAAGCATGGATAAGTTGCTCCAAGTGAGTCTAAAATGCTTAGGAGTTTGTAATTCAGGCTACTCAGCCTTGCAATTTTCCCGCAAATAAAGACGGATTTGAAGTTAGCGCTTGAAAGCAAGGCTCGGCACAAGGTGGCTTTCCTAAGCAAAAAACGAAATCCCCTCGATTCCGCAAAATTTACGATTCCCCTTTGACCATAAACCCTAAACTTAAAAACCCTCAACAAAACGTAATTTGAGTTGTGTTGTGCTTTTTCGACCACAAAAACCATATCCCCTTCACTTTTTGTCCCAAAAAACGATATCCAGCTCCCTTATAAGCCACTTGTGCCGACTGCTAAGAAGTTTTCGTGATGATATGCATCTTGTAGCAATTGGCCACTTCGACTCGATCCTCTCTTTTATGACAAATTCTGAATACAGCGCCTCTAACTGATCCTTTTCAAGGCGAAATGTAACTCTGGACGCAATCAACTAGCGGGGTCCTGAAACCCTTCAAAGGATAATTAGACAAAACCGGTAATCATCGTGAAACCGAACATTTTTTGCCATATTACGCACCGCACTCTCCTAATCAGAAATTCTATCTTATAGTGTATCTCATAAGATCAAAGATTTTTTGGTCAAAATGCTTCTATTTAGTACATTGTTATTTCTGGAGTACGAGTAGCTGGTAAGTGTTCAACTGTTATGGTAAAACAACACTCTTCCAAAAGCTTTGCCCTCAAGTCATTACTGTGTATTAGACTAACAATTATTCTCCTTTCACGCACCACGAGTGTAAGGCACAAATACGGATAATCGCCTAGTCATTTGTAACCTAATTTGTGAGCCTGCACACCATGCGCGGTAACAGATGTAGTAACCCTGCAGTAAGACCTTTTTTAGTGTAGCAACCTGTAAAAATGTGTTCTGCTAGATGATACAATATTCAATCACATTGAAAGAGACAAGTAAACAATGAGTAAGCACTGGAAATAAGCAGATTCTAACCTTACAAAGTCGTCATTTTGCGTGCCTAGGTGCAATGCGTTATAAATGACTCGAGGATAAACAAATGCTCGAATCGCAGGCTTTTATAACTGTAATTTATATTTAGAAGTCGTCAACGGTGTGTTCAGGTCCAGATTTTACTCAATATAACTCAGTTTGTACTACAAGTTTGTACTGCTTTGTGAATTGCAATAAATGACCTGCGCTCACATAGAAATCACGGCATCAGCTAAATCAATAATTTTTGAAAGCTTTTATTCTTAGAGAGATTACTACTTAACCTATGATTCAACTGGACTGGCGGCTGGAAGACGAGCTTGGTGACCTATTAAGGCCGCTCGCGCACGCGACGCAGTCAGCGTCTCTCCCTCCTGCTCTCTGATCATTCTTTAGCCTTAACTAGATCACGAATCCCCGCGTTCCAGTCGTTAATTCAGGTGAACAAAGGTTAACTTTGTCAAGAGAGAATACTCACTTTTGTTTCCTGACAGCTACTTCTTTTGCAATCACTGAGTCTTTGCAGATGTGATCGCCTCAATTTTCAAAGTAACCCGAGCTTTCCAAATGTACAGAAATATACTAGTTAGAAAACACAGAAAATTCGTTTTTCTCAGCTTTATATACAGTGACCGCCAAAAAGTTGCGGACAAGCCTCCCTCCCTTTTTCATCGCTCTTTTTCAGAAGGAAAACAAGGATAAAAAATGTAGTGATTGCATGAGGTGATAGAGCTCTTCAAGATCTACAATCTACACTTTGCATTTTTCGAAAAACATGTATTCTAAAAATTTTAAAAAACTTTTTGTAAAAAAAGTCCGAAAATGGCCGCGTCACAATGTCGCGGACAATAATTCTTCGAACGCAAAAATTTTCTTTTGAGTCCTATTCTGAAGCTGAAACACAAGTAATTCAGACGGATAAGCATACTACTATACAGAGCTCGTCAAGAACTACACACTGGTTATGGTTGCTTCCCAGAAAACACAAGTTTGAGTTTTAGTTTGCTTTTTTTTCAAAAATAACTTCTAATTCTTCTTTTTAAGCCAAGTTTCTTCACATGGAAACCTATTCACGACATTCCAACAACGCTGTTCGGATAAAGCAGATGCTTTTTACCATTCTCCACGCATCTGACGTGTGCTGATGAGTTTCTTTGTTGAAAATGGCTCTTGGCAGTACTTGCACATGACCCCACCTGCACCTCACCACTGACTTGTACCGCTTTGCAGGCTTGTAACTCGGCTTGTAGTCAGTATGTGAGCCTGCAATTAGGCTCATTCGAAAGAACGAGACTTCCTCTACACGATGGTATGTAAAAGATATGGGCATAAGAAATAGCGGAGATTTGGCGGATGGGGTGGAAAAACGCGGCCTCAGTGGTAGGGTGAGGATATTCAGCTAAAGTTGAATAGAGCTTCTTTCGCTACCAGTTCAATCCTGGAAGCTTGAAACTGTCAATGTTCTTGTAATAGATCCATTTTGAAGCTCTAGAACTGTTTTGGTGTTAATAAGAGCCTTCACTCCAACCACCACTGAGGCCGCGTTTTTCCACCCCATCCGCCAAATCTCCGCTATTTCTTATGCCCATATCTTTCACATACCATCGTGTAGAGGAAGTCTCGTTCTTTCGAATGAGCCTAATTGCAGGCTCACATACTGACTACAAGCCGAGTTACAAGCCTGCAAAGCGGTACAAGTCAGTGGTGAGGTGCAGGTGGGGTCATGTGCAAGCACTGCCAAGAGCCATTTTCAACAAAGAAACTCATCAGCACACGTCAGATGCATGGAGAATGGTAAAAAGCATCTGCTTTATCCGAACAGCGTTGTTGGAATGTCGTGAATAGGTTTCCATGTGAAGAAACTTGGCGTAAAAAGAAGAATTAGAAGTTATTTTTGAAAAAAAAAGCAAACTAAAACTCAAACTTGTGTTTTCTGGGGAGCAACCATAACCAGTGTGTAGTTCTTGACGAGCTCTGTATAGTAGTATGCTTATCCGTCTGAATTACTTGTGTTTCAGCTTCAGAATAGGACTCAAAAGAAAATTTTTGCGTTCGAAGAATTATTGTCCGCGACATTGTGACGCGGCCATTTTCGGACTTTTTTTACAAAAAGTTTTTTAAAATTTTTGGAATACATGTTTTTTGAAAAATGCAAAGTGTAGATTGTAGATCTTGAAGAGCTCTATCACTTCATGCAATCACTACATTTTTTTATCCTTGTTTTCCTTCTGAAATAGAGGGATGAAAAAGGGAGGGAGGCTTGTCCGCAACTTTTTGGCGGTCACTGTATATGCTACATTGACCCGACATATTTTGTAGCTCATTAATATAAACTAACCATGCAAACAGCGCTTCATACAAGAATACTAGGTGCGGTAAAAGGAGTTAGACTTTCATAAATCTTTTGCTTAGCGATAGTCACCCAACTGGGGAATACTAAAGAGTTCCGTGTTTATTCTTATCACAACTCACTCAGGTGAAGCCCGCATTTTTAGCACATAGACTCATGGCAGTCATTTTATAACATTTCTCCTTATTGGCTGAATCCAAGAATCACCTCCTTTTTCACTTTTTGTCATGGAAGGCTTAGGGGCGTGAACCTAGCGACATGTAAAGCGGTGTTTCAGTATCGAAGGTGTCTTGACTGAGGACTGCCGGCAGCAAAATGAATCTCTTTGAGGCAAAGTCGAAGTGGCTCTTGATTGCTGTCTTCTACGCACTGGTGAGCCTCGGCTATTTTTATTGATATTATAAATTTGACATTTCAGATCAACGACAGTTTGAACTGCATCAGAAGTGTGACAGACAATTTCAGCGCATCTCTGAAAGGGATTACAATGTCACCACTGAACAAGAGTGCTTGAGAAATGCTCCGCCGATCTGGAGTGCATCTTCTTGACTTATTACGAGGTATTTTTGAGAACAAACGAGGCAAGTGTGACTTCTCTGCACTGTAAACAAATAAATAAGAAAGAAAAAATTACTCTACTAAGCATGCAAAAACAATTAAAAAATTCCGCTAGTGCCATATCTACAAGTTTACGTGGATTTCTTTACAGGGTAGATGCGAAGTTTTTGAAGACGGTGATGACGTTCAGGATCTAGCGTCTGTCAGGAAAGCTTTCTCATATTCATTTGAAGAGCAGGAAACATCTTGCCCAATTGTAATTGTATCAAGACCACAAATCTCTAACATTGAGCCAACGACGGCACCAAAGTCACTCAATACCCGTGTAACGACTATCCCAAAAATTATGAGGGTAGTAGAATTTTTACGAAGAAGAACTTGAAACGCCGGACAAACTACTCGTTTGCTTGTATGTCTTGCGCATACTTTGCAGAATCGACTCGAAATGTTGCAAATTTAGCTTTGGATTCGTGTCTAAAAATTGCAGTTGCAATATGAAAGCTACGAGTTTTTATAGAGCAGGTGGGGTTGTTCCTAGACTGTATCCTTTATAATAACAAGTGGTTCGAATTTAAGACGACGAGTCATTCGAGGACCCCTTCATTATCCGTCTTTACGTCAAAGACTATAACCCGTATACCTCTGAACCTGTTTGTGCCGATTACAATGTGGATGCACCAAACGCTGTTGCCGAATACAGATGTAAAGGAACGGGTCAATACGTCTATGTGATAGACACCGAATCGGGACCCAATCCCGAGTTCCCTAATTTTGATGGTCTAGAACGGGTTGAAAGCACACCCATTTTCTATGTACACCACGCAGATGATTGTAGCTCTGCTTGAGTCAAGCGATAATGCTGCTTCTGTTGTAGTTTCTGCAGCTTCGTTGTGTTATGTTCTTCTGTTTGTCTTGGTTGCTAGCACTTGCTTTTAGAGCATTTGACATCATATTGTTGTCAATATTTGTAGTAAACGAGTATTGCTAGAAATTGTCAAAGCAGTTTCATACACTGCATGCAAACATTCATCCAGTTATTAGGTTGTAAAGAAAGTTCCCGGGCACTTTTGGAAGTTTCATTTTCAAATTTCAATTTCATTTCTTCGGCGCTCGGTCGCATTTGGACAGCGAGATTTTTACACTGTTCAGTAGAGGAAAGCCTATAGTTTTCAATACGGCTTCCACTTTTCACCGGTGCCAAGACGTATTCGATCTGCACACCAAAACGAAAAATCTTTCCAACCGTAAAAATTTTACAATTTTTCTTCCCATGGACAATTTTTTGCATTTCAAAGAATTTCGTCCAAATAATGGGTAATCTGATTATGAAGCCTGTCAACTTCTGACCTGCAGTTGCATTCGAGTTTTGCGACTTGCTCTCAGAAATTACAAGCCGTCGAACTTGCCACTGACTGCAACTTTTTTCACAGCTGGCGTCGCTTTGCGGGGATCGCCACGCTTGAATGATGAGTCCAAAAGATGTGTAAGGCATTACCTCAGCAATGTTCGCAGTAATCAAAGATTTGGTCCATTATATGCAGAATGACAAGACTTCAAGATCACTTACTCGAATAATGGTGCATTTTTAGGGGCAAAAATGATCGATTTTCAAACTTTCTGAGAAGACTTTTTTGCATTGGTCGCTCAAAGCTCAAGTAGTGTTTATAGCAGCCCCAGCGTACTTCTATATAACTACAGCATCTAAGCTCTCTAGCACTCGCTATGCCTGAGATAATTGCACAAATAAGCCACTTTTCGCGACACCTTTTTCCCTTCTGTGCATAGTGGTGGACCGCAGTGAGGTGCTGAAAAGCCAGCAAGACAAATATATGTTGTGGACAAAATTGTCTTTGTAATGAAGTTTGTAGCTTTATAGAACAATCAATCTGCTTGAAGTTACAGCGGTTTGAAAAAATTTTCGCAAGTGCCCGGGAACTTTCTTCACAACCTAATAATTTCTGGCTTTCAAATCACATTTATCGCTCCACTTTACGACTGTGAGGCCAGAATGTGGAAGAATGTGAAAGTGTAAATGATGAGATACGATATGATATTTCTGACACTAAGACAAATTATGGAATGGTAATTCCAAAGTTTTCAGACCAAGATGATGGGACAAGGCGCTCGCGAAAAACTACTGTTACCATACACACACATCGCTGAAATTGTGCTTGAAAAAAACAAGATTTCCTCCATACATCATTGCATATTCGTGAGTATATTTTAGGACTAGCGACCCTATTGGAGGCCGCTATAAGTGGTTAGGGACAGATACATTAGTATTTACTTATTTGGGAATGCATTTAACCCTAAACGGTGTGTACATCTTCCTTCTAAAAAAGCTTGCTATATAGAAATCACGTATGGAAAGTGGCCTTCCAAAATATCACATCCAAGATACTAAAACCTATCCTGCTATTTTCGCAGATTAGTCACGATTGACACAATCACTTCCACGAGAAAGCTAACTAAATTATTAGGTTGTCCGGAAATTAATGCCCGTTTTGAATTTCAACCGCAATAAGTCATACACCTCTCACTTCTAAATAGGGTGCAGAGTAACATTCGATAGAGTAAAGCAAGCTCTACAAAAAGGCTATCTTACTTTTGCAACAGCTCTCATCCACCTCGAGTTTCGAGCCAAAAACTAAAAAGAGTCAGCAGCCCGAAAAATCGAAAAAAATCGTAACTCAGCTCACAAAAATCCTACAAAAATTCTTACTTGCTCACGTAAACATTATCCACATAAAACATCTATATACGCCTTTGCCGTATTTTTTCCTCTGTTAGAAATCAAGAAAACAGAAATTTTCGTGCATTTGCCAAAGTCGTGTTGTGTCGCCCCCACATAGATAATTGTACACTACAAACCTGTAGAAGTACAAACGTAGATTCTCAGCTCTCTATAAGCTTTAGTTCTCAAGAAATTCGAATTTTAGTTTGGAGCACCTAACTAAGGAAAGCTATATTCGGTATTTCTCGAGAACCAAAGCTTGTAGAGAGCTAAAAATTTGAGTCTGTACTTCTACAGGCTTGTGGTATACAACTACCTATGTGGGGACGGCACAGCATCACTTTGGCAAATGCACGAAAACTTCCGTTTTCTTGGTTTCTAACGGAGGGAAAAATACGGCAAAGGCGTATATGGATGTTTTATGTGGATAGTGTTTACGTGAGCAAGTAAGAATTTTTGTAGGATTTTTGTGAACTGAGTTATGATTTTTTTCGATTTTTCGGGCTGCTGAGTCTTTTTAGTTTTTGGCTAGAAACTCGAGGTGGATGAGAGCTGTTGCAAAAGCAAGATAGCCTTTTTGTAGAGCTTGCTTTACTCTATCGAATATTACTCTGCACCCTATTTAGAAGTGAGAGGTGTATGACTTATTGCGGTTGAAATTCAAAACGGGCATTAATTTCCGGACAACCTAATAGCTTGTTTCCGCGGTGTAAATTTTTTCAAGATTGTAATTTTCAAAACTTCACCAAAATTGTGTGAACAAACCTTTTTGCTCCAAAAGGTGCTCAAATGTGGGAAAAGTCTATCTTAGCTTAACTCCGCATGCTACCTTACCGCATAAAGATTAGAAATATCAAAAATTCATACACCGGAGTTTCTGACTGTGTGATGTATCTTCGCTTCGCAGATTTCCGATAATTCTACTTTCAAAGTTAAATGTGAAAGTTTCCACTGAGCGGACTTTCCTGCACGATTTTAGGGCCTATTGCTCCAACAAATGCACATTTTCGAAGGCTTCCCCTCCTTCAGGGGATGGTCCCGGACTGATTGTGAGTAATCATTTTTTGATCAGTAACGCTTAACTAATCATGCGCTATCAGTGTAGTTCTTAGTCTCGAAACCGGAGAGAGTAAAACTCATACAAAAAATATTGAAACATGTTCTTCGGCAATTTCACTAATATAAACTGAGAATCCTTTGCATAATTTGTCCCTAGTTTGCCAAGGCTTGCTATTCCACTCTCACAAAGACTTCAGGAATTCCGCTATTATATTGCACACAATAACTTTATCACTAATACATATACACGTCTAAATAACAACAGTAAAATACAACAAACATGCTTAATGGATAGAAAAAAAGGAACTTCGTAGTCAAAACCTGCAGTTCCTTTTATAGAAACAACGAAAAAAATGGAGTATATGAGTTTTTTGGTATATATTATTACCCGCTTCACTACTCTACTCAACACAGTGATTGCCCATTACGGTAGGTACGCACATGGATTCTAAGAGAATGGTTCACAACTACTGCAAGTTGGATAGCGACTTCAAAGTTCAAATAAAATGCGCACTGGAATAAGTGCTACCATACAACGGAGAAAACTCCTAAAGAGATAAATAACAACGCGTCTAAGGAGGTAATATGACTGATTATCATGGACAATACTATTTGATTACACACATCGACAAAATTAATACAAAAGAGAGGTGGAGTAGAGCGAAAATAATAACCAATTTTTGTTGACTGGACTCAAGAGAGGATTTTTCAAGTTTTCACATTTTTACAATTGGAGGTCACCGATACGATTCAGTGAAGTTGGAAGAAAATTGTTGGAAAAAGCTATAACGTAGAATTTCATTAATTTGTAGATTGCTGAAGCATCGTTTCTTCAGGATAGATGAATATCAAAGGGATTCTGGGGTGGATGCGTCTGAAAAAGCAGTATAGAGATTAAGCAGCTTCTGAAACGTCCAGCCAAATCCAAGTTCGGCAGGATTTTTATGCAGTACGATAGCGAGGACCCTAGAAAACTGCTCAATTACCGCTCTAAAAGGTGCATTTCGAAGCGGGAGATTCGTCATAAAAGGTGTGCGGAGGTCGCCACACACTCAACTTGGGTAGCCCAGAGAATGAGCACGAAACTGGATTATAGAATACCTAGAATGTCGAAAATGTGTTTTTCACAATGGACATCGGACTTTCGACATTTCAGGCATAGCTGACTGCACGGAATCGCCCAGGCTCACCCGCAAGCGTGTCTCTTGCGTGCGAACAATGTCATTCGCGCGCATGAGTCTCACCATATCGCCATACTCGGCAGCCGCGTTGCAGGCACGCTCGCGGGCGTTTAGCCTACAGCGATATGGGCAATTTCGTGCAGTCGACTTTACTAATGAGTTTTACAGGCTTATTGCATTTAGGCCACCCAAGTTGATAAGATGGCTACCCCAGTATCTAAAGCGTCGAAAAATACACCTTTTGCAGCGAGTTGAGAAATTCTAGTTCGGGCTCTCGGTACTGCATCAAAATCTCACCAATGTTTGATTTAGTGGACGGGGCCTTCAAAAGTAGGAATAGATCTTGCAGATAGTTATAAAAAAGCCTACCGGAACAGTCCACGTTTCAGTTTCACGGTTATTTCGCTGACGCTCCCCACGTCGTTCGCGGCATGTGCGTGCAGCTACCTTGTTCTTTCCTGGAACAAAACTACCTCTGAGCATCTGATAAAATCTCCCAACAATGAGGTCAGCAAAAAAAATCACCCCTTCGGCGGATCTTACGAATCAACTGTTTCTGTTGCTCGGTAAGTTGCTCATTCTTGAGCACTTTGTGCAGTTCTCCCAAAGTCATCTCAGAGATTTCACGAGCAGATAGCGGAAGTCTGTTGGCCGCTGCTAGTTGTTCATCCTTTGACTGACGTCCACGTCGTCGCGGCATGTTCGGCGGCGACACGCTGTTATCGCCATGAGACCTATAAAGGGAAAAATTCACTCTCACAACCCAGATGCTAATTGCAAAGCTCACCCGCAAACGGTTCTTGGATACATTGAGGGCTCTTCAATTTCTCGTGGTGCTAGTTTGCCATAATATCTAAAGAAAAGAAAATTACCGACATAATTTTGATTACGGGCAATAATCTACTGACTCGGACTTTTAAAACCGACCTGCTCGCATGAGGACTATAATTTTCGCTTTCGCTGTGATAATGAGGTGAAGCTGCTGTGGAAGAGGATGAGCACACTGATGAGGATTCACTAAACGCATTTTTATCAGTTTTCATTGAAAATAAGAAATAAACACTATGCATTTAATCTGTCATTCTGATACATTTTTCTACCATAGACTTTAAGCCCCAAAACAAAAAACGGGAAATTTTCAGAGCTTTTTTTTTGCTTTGTCACGATGCACAAGGGACGAAATCATAAAGTGGAGCAATAGTAGTCCATTCAACTTCCAGTTCCCCTCTCCTTGTATCTACTCTGAAAAATCTCGAATTACTCTGACCCCCCTTAGAGGCAGCGTCCAGGCAGATCTGAACCTACGAGGATTTTACGTGGAAAGTACTTTTGGAGCCCTAACTAATGCACTGCTCAAGCGGCAGCGCAGATAGTGCTCTAACGGATGAGATATTCCCCTCGAAACTGGACCCCCCGATCGTATTCGCATGGATTCATGGCAGTTTCGCGCCAGGACACACGCTTTGCGCCAAGAGTCCATGCGAAATACGATCGCGGGACTTTCGGGGGAAATATCTCTGCCGTTAGAGCACTACCTGAGCTGCCGGTTGGGCAGTGGCCTAGTTAGGGCCCCAAAATTACTATTCACGTTGCCTGGACGCTGCCTTCAAGATTTGAGCAACTAAATATTTTTTCAAATGAAAAAGGTACATACTTGCTGAAGGACGTCGTCCTTGCCGAATAGTATGGATCATATACGGGGATTGTTCTAGTGGCAGTACTCTAGAATAAAAAAATTTCCTTGGGATCATCTCTCTCAGAAGAAAACTTACCTCTTCACGCTGTTCAGTGGGCACATTACCAAGATACTGATGGTCGTACTGGCTTCCAGTGGATACTACTTGTGTTCCAGTGTCATTTTGGAATGTCATGTAACCGTTGTTTGGGTAGACTAAAATATACAAATGAAATCACAGCCACTCAAAAAATTCTTCTACCCTTTCAACACGACTGCCAGCCCTTCTTCGACAATTCGATAAAAGTTCTATCTACGCGCACGCTACGAACCACTTCTGCGAATTTCTCAAAACATGACGTGTTATCTTTCAGAATGCTAACTTATCAGAAAAATGCCTGTCCGACGGTTCGCGAAAAAAAGCGGTGATAGCAAAAACCTGATAGCGTCCTTTCTGGGCATATTTTTCCCACTAAGCCCTGTCCAAAAAACAACTAAATTACTCACTGTCACTGGGAGTCATTTCAGCTTGTTGAACCCACATGCTTGGCATTGTGGTTTCATTATAAAGCGTGGCTGGTGCCGGTGGAGCCATTACCGATGCTAGGGCAGCTTGTCGCTGTTCTTGCATCATTGACATCTCAGTTACTGAAAAAGAGGGTAAATTTTACCCTGTTCGGGTAAGATAATTAACCCAAGCTCTCACCGTTCTGGGGTGTAAAGACAATCCCGTCTGAGAGGCTTACGTTATTTACTAGAGGTAGTGGTTCCAAATCAGCTGGTGGGCACACTCCCAGGCAAGTCAACTGATCAAGTTGACCACCTTCTTTGGAGACGTCAGCGAGAAGTTCAGCTAGATCTTCCTACACAATGAAAATTCAAATCGCTCCGGGACAAACAAGATTCCAGAGTTCTCACGTCTGTCGGAGTACGCAAATCGCGCTTATTCGGGTCGTCTTCGAATTCAAACACCTGATCGGATCGTGAAGGTGGCTGTGGAGTCGTCCCTTTGGTGCCTGGACGCAGTACGTATGGCGCAGCGTAGAAGTCTTCAAAGTAAACTTTGGAAAGATCTTCAAATCGTGACGATTCTTCGGCAGACAATGGCTGGAAAGGAGACATGGATTCAAAATAATATGACCAGCTATAGATAGTACTCATTATCAGAACTTCATGACAAGAAATTTTAGAGGAACCGATGGCGCATAAGGAAAGCAAACAGCAGCGGAAAAACAGCGCTGTCGACGAGTTTCAAGATTATTTACATTGTAGAGTATATGGCAACTGAAGTGCTTTGGATCTCTGCCAATACACCGGTACAAGTTAGAAGCAAAGGGATGGATTGCATCTATTCTCACAAAAAAGTTATATCTCGCGTAAACTTTCCATCAGCAGATAGACATGCAAATATTTGAAGACTTCATATATTTCAACAAGTTTTTTTGTCTACTTCCCCCCCCCCCTTCATTCAAACGATACATCCACGACAATTTTGTCCACATGAAACCTTTTTCACGTGAACTCCCCAGAAGAGCGCTGAAACTTGAGTGGCACGGGTGCGCAAGTCCACAACCTTGCCAAAGCCCTATATTTGCGATTGAAGGAGTACAAAGGTCGAGAGTGAGAGTAAACCGTGAAACTCTCAAAGCAAAAAGGAAAAGAAGTGCTCCTGATTCAAGAAGTAAACGAAAATTTCTAAACATCATAGCGTTAGTGCAAATATGTTCACATGCGGCTCATGGATTGTAGGAAGAAGATCACGTGGAAGTTTGAGATCTTTGACTACGGTGCGCACTTGATGAAAAAACATCAAAAATGCTTGGAGAATTATGAAAGTCACTTAAACAGCAACTTCATCATGGAAAGTAGTGTAGTTCAGATCCCACATTTCGGCTATGAAACTATGAATGGGCATTTGAATAATTTGGAATCGGGCCATCATACTCGCATCTTACGTTGAGATTCTTTGCCTCTACAAACGTTCGAAAATCAAAGGCAAGCTTTGGAAAACTAACGCAGATTCATGCCATAAAAAAGCTAACAAGGGAATGATTCTTGGTTGAAGTGGGGTTTCCATATGAAAAGTGTTAAGTCTTATAGAGCAGGGAACGGTGATTCCAAATCTGCTTTCCTTATCTGCAAAGCGCTTCTAAAGGGGAGTTCTGAGAGTTTTTTTTTTTGATAAAAATTCAATGGTTTGGCTAAGGTGAAAATGTTGAGATCTTTCCGATGCTTGGAAGTAGTAATGTCTGACAAGAGCTTATCAGAACGAAGGTAGTATCGCATAAAACGCCCTGGTAGTGATCATTAGCCCCATTCGAGCTCATAGACTGCACTTTAAATGATTTTATGGTAGCCGCGCATTCGAATTCTTGCTCCAAGAACATCCTATAACTTCCCTCTCAGAAACGCTTTGCAGACATGGAAAGCAGATTCGGAATCAGCGTCCTAAGCTCTTTAAGATAGTATACATTTCCTAATGAAACGCCACTTCGAAGTATCTTTCCCTTGTAAGATAAGGATCTCTGTAAACTAAGGAAGAGCTTTTCCTTCTTTTTTTACTTCACAAGGGTGAGTGTGAGCCTTGATGTACAGAAGCCAGGTAGCTACCCCAAAATTGAAAGTAAGCAAAAGTTCCACAGTACTCCAATGAAAAGAGTTTTTACCGTAAAGCGACTTCGGAAACTCACTTCTTCAAATTAAATGCAATTTGAGGTTTGGAGTATAAATAAGCTCAAGAAAACATGCGAAGGACTTTCCAAAAAACAAATTCTATACAAGGAAAACAGCTCAGCAGTATATAACTGATGAGCGGATTCCTTCTTTCTCCCTCCCCCTCCCCCTCCCCCTCCTCTCCCACCGCTCTCCTTCCCCCTCGGCACTAGTCTTTGATATTTTACCCTCAATCAAAACTCACCGCATGCACGCTCTTCTCCGTTAGCAGCTGTAAATCACGCTCATACTGTTCAGCCGGTTCCAACTGTCTGGTGCCTTTTTCTGCTGCTATATCTCTTCGCCAAAGTACGTCAATAAGCTCGATATCCTGAAAAGAGTGAGGGTTAAAATTTGGAACTCGGAAGGCTCAGTTTTATACAAAAGACAGACTAGATATTGCCTTTGAGAATCTGGGTACACTACAAAGAGCAAGCAACAAGGGCGCAATGCTACCTATCAAAGAGTGCGATCTTAAAATGCTCGAGTTCTTCAGAAACCAACCTAAAGCCTCTAGGATACCCCAAGAACTGGAAACGCACTCAAAAAAGTGCACACTGACACATCGAGATATGGCTAGGAACACAAAAAGATTCACGGAAATTGATTATAATCTAGTCCATCGTAAAAATCTCAAAAAGTTCCGTAGCTTGGCTTCACGCTATTTGCTCCTGTAAAAAAATCTGATGCTTGCTCACTTCTAGGGAAGGATCGTCATGTGAGGGTGCTGGTGGAGCTGTAGAAGTGGTTGGGACGAGTTGTCCGGGGACACGACCAAGATGTGTACGTGGTCGTTCGGTGACCACTGGCATCATTGTCACCTGAAGAAATTTTTATTTGTAGTTATTTCATAGATGATAACTTCTAAGACAATCTCTCACACTTCAGCAGCAAAGCTTATTAACGATGGAAGAAGTACTTCCCTCTTTCAAAAATCGCAGGACATGTAGCTCGCACCTACATTGCCACAGAAACGACCCATTTCGAAAACCGCTCAAAAAATGAAATTATGCCGACTACCAGTTACATGAAATCCCTAAAAACCCAAAGAATCAAGGCTCGGCAGTATAAGCCACAAAACGTCCCAGCCGAAACTTGCTTACTGCTTGTTAGCGGAGAACGGAGGAAAAGCCAACCACCCCCACCCACCAAAGTAGAGAAAGTAGACTGTATGGGTCAACAACTAGTAAATCAAAAAATTTCAATGTGTAAGCTAGTTGAAAATTTTTGCAAGCATCTCAAAAAACCCTTCGGGTTGAGGGATCAGTCCCACGCAAGCTCATTCAAAAAATTTATGTCCCCCCCCCATGATTTCCATGGATTTCAACACGTTTCATACCGTAAACGAACATTTTTTGCGATTATCAACACTACTCTAAAGACGGTCAATTAATCATTCCCAAAATTACCTCCATGACGAATTTCGCAGAAGCACATCAACCACCAGAATGTTCTGTGTGCTTAGAAAAAGTTCTAGAGTTCACGAGTTCTAGACAGTTCACTTAACTTACGTCTCACCCACGACTTTTTACACAAGGTGCACCTAGCCTCCCCCCCCCCCCCCTTCCCCTCCTCCCGCAAAAAAAATTGCATCGACTGTCTCTTCGAACTAACTCGACCAGCAGCAATGAAGAAAATACTGATATCTTACCCTGCCGCCATAATCGGCTCGTTCAGTGTAGTTGTAGGCGATTCGTGCTAAGGTGGCTTCGTCTCTCCACCTAAAGATAAGAATCTCGAATTTTCTTCATGATTCGTAGATATTTCTGAATAACCATGAATCTAATAAAAATCGTAAAAGATAAAAGAACCCAGTAATGATGGAAAGCAAAAATAAAATTCAGATTTCTTGCAAAACGGAAGCGACACAAATATCATGTCTGCTACCGTTTCCTACATTTGGCTATCCACGTTAGCACTATTTAATAATCTACCCATAAACACTGACGATCTGCAAGCTATATGAAATGATCAATCGGAAGCTGAATGGGACCCACCTGACTCCCAAAGGTCGCAACTTGAAAAAGTTCCCTGTGTCCATATCCATCAATCCGTCATACATCATCGAGGGAATATCTGTGAAAAGGAGTACTTTCTGTATTGCAGGACAGAACGTCTTGATTTACAAAGCTAATGACGTAAGTGGTTCTTGATTGGAAGTTCGAAACTAAGAATACAAAAATGCACGTCTGATAATCGATGCACTGTTCCAAAGGTGGCTTAAAACCGTAATTAGCTCGCTAACGAAAAACCTAAGAAGATCATTAGAAAACCTTTTTCCAAAACTAAAGCTGCTTAGCATGCATTGCGTCTCAAGCACTGATGAAAGAAACCGTCAACTTCAAAGGCAATTCCCCGGCAAATCTGATTACCTACTAAACTTGTGGGGATACTGACTAAGATGCCTTACCTAAACCACTCCCCATGCCGCTTCTCATAGAATCTAATCATGGTCGAGGACTAACGCCTAGTAATGCACTCGAGCATGCTGATTGGTCCGCCCGGAAAAAATACGGTCTGGGCTAGCGTTTGCGGCTGATTTTCTCAGATACATATGAACCATATGAAGTGCCGTTTGGGCAATGGCTTAGCCAAGGCCTCACAACTTTTCCATGAATCCCACTGCAAGGGCAGACCATGCCCCTTCCCCTCCCCCCAAACCCCTTAACCTCTCTCCTCACGGGTCGTGAAATGAAAGTAGTAAGTTGGAAGTTTATATAAGTTACAAATTCGTGCATGTAAGTTGTTTCCAATTGTATGCCGCCCAACTTCACTGGAAAAAATTTTTGCTGCCCGCCCCAAAACAATCCATCGAACCGCCATTGTCAGATACCCGCAATTGCGAAGTCAATACCTTGAAACCCACAGGTCTTTACTGAACAATTCCTTTTTATCTGAAGTAATACATAGAACAACCATATGACAATTTAGAACAAAATTTTGGAGCAAGAATTTCATTAAAAAAAAAACAGCCTGTACAGGCGAGTTTGCAAAAGTGCACGGTCAATCCATCTTCATTACAACCAAATTTATGGTAGTACAAAAAAGTGACAACATCCAGATCGATCACAATTTAGCACCTTATATAGACCTACCTTGATTTTCAAAGTAGTTGATCAATGACTTCCTAGTGATCGTAGTAGGAGCAAGAAAAAGCGATGAGGCAAACGCGAATACCCAGAACGATGGAAACTAAAAAAAAATGTTTGCGAAGAGCTCCGCTATCAAAATCAAAAGAATGAGAGGCTAGAGACGTATAAAACCGCTTCAGTTAATTTTAAGCACGATAAGATTTTGATGAAGCGGGAGAAAAAGATATAATAAGATCACAAAAAGATCGTTAAGCAACAACCTGATATAATGACCAAAGAACGACTACAAACACCTGCATCACTATTATTTTTTATATATTTATCAAAGAAGATTTTTTGTGCTATGCTGATAACAAGAGTGAAAATTAGAAATGACATAGGCTGACAATGCACTTTCTCGCTTTCAAACTTTGTTGGCTTCCAAAAGTAGCCCCCAAAAATTAAAAGGGAAGGCTGTACAAGTACAGAATAAGTGAAATGGAGACCAGCTCACAGAATAAGTTCAGAAGTCTTAGAAATTTGAATAAATGACCGATCATACATGCACCTTCCTCTCTAATGAAAACATGAAACCTCTATTTGTACGGCATTATGCAGGAAAAAATTGCGCCTAAAAGAAGCGCACTTTACCAAATTACCGCAAACCTTAATAAAAAAAAAATTAAGTTTTCATTTTTCGACCAAGCATCGATATGCTTAGCGTTAGAGCAGATCAACCAAACCCATTTTCCGTTCTTTTACCTATCCCACTATTATTAGCTCTATTTTAACATTGTAGACCATCGCACCAACAACCCTACATCACAGATCTATTCTACCCAATTTCAAACCCACGCGAAAATATCCCGTGCATCTCCAAAAGCAAACATCATACAAATAATCGTTGACCTTCGCTGTTGTGCCGCGCGTTTTGTCATCGTTTTGCACAGCCACAAGTTAATAAATTCTCTAAAGGTAAACAGCTAGGAGAAAACAATTCTAACTACTCACACTCAGGTTTGCAGCTGCGTTGCAAGATGGTAATCGAGTTATGGGGCGTGGACCTATGGCTATTTTTACATTTATCAAAAAAGAGGGGAACTCGCTAGAAGTATTATAATCCATACACTCTTAAGTCTTTATGACGCACTTCAAAGCTATATTTTTCGCTAATGCGTGCAACTGCACAAATTCTAATGTTAGCTATGAAGGCAGATTTTTCTGGTGATAATAAACACATGTAGCTATCCTCAATTCGATAGACAACTGGTGGACAAAATTGTATTCGAAATGGAGCAGAGTTGCGGTAGCAAGGCATCTTCAGCTTCATTTTAAATTGCCTCATACGGTGACGCGCTCTACCGCTACTAGCCTGCTCCAGTTTCAATTCAAATTTGTTAACTAGGTGCCTACCAAAGGAGGACGAGTATAACATGTGATCACTCAAGCTTTTCCACGTGCACTTATGCCTCAACAACAAATAAAAACAATCACGCAAGAAAAACAATATCTGTATCTTATGGGCTACTCATCCTTGAAAATGTGTGCAATTGCACACATTAGCACCTACTCAACTCTACAAAGCCACCAGCTAAAGAACCAGAACCGTTATTAAAACGTCATTCACTAAGGATAAACGCCTAGAGAATTCTATTGAGCACAGCAGTCGCTCAGTCACAAGGCATTGCGAAATATGTGTTACCGCAACGAACCGGTCGTCGCCCCGTCGCCCCGTGGTCGGTCGGCGCCCGCCCGCCCCAGCGCGCTATCACATCACTTTGCTGCACTGAAAACAAAAATGTTAGTAGCGCCGCCGGTTGCGATCTGTCTGTGTCAAAGGTGTGACACGCTACAAACTATATGCTTGCCGCTGGCAGTAATCAAAACAATTTCTGAAACAAAAACAAAAATTCGTTCACAAGGAGAAACTACTGGATCAATGGAAGCAAACATCACTGATCTGCGTGCTGAAGTCTTGTCTGCTAGCGGAGAGATTACCGCAGAGCGGGCGCGTCAAGCAAAAAAAGCTCGGGAAACTACTCATAACAGGGAAGATGAAATGTGATTTCAGAGCAGAAACTCCACGAGAGTCGAACAAGAACGATAGCAAATGAGTGAGGAGCTTGCATTTTTTCAAAAGCAAATGAGTAAGGAGCTCGCAAACATTATTTAAGTCTTCAAAATTATGTAGTTATGAAGTGGAGCATGCAAAAATTTGGAAATCTCCTGACGTCAAGAAGATTTTACAGATTTACAGTACAGTTACGGTTTTAGAAAACGCATGATTACTTCTAGATAAACCAATTTTATCAACAAATCTGTGAAGTCAAAGGAACCAGAACTCAGATCTGGATGTGAAATGGCCATGGCTACGTAAGGAAGAGCCAATGGGTTCCTCCAGGAGTGAAATTTTTGCTTACCCAAAACTTATCTACAGTCAGTCTTATCTTACATTTCAACGCCTCTCTGCCGAGATAAACATGTATTATTTCAAGACTTGAATTTGGAAGTTCTAGTTCAAGAATCTGAGCGAATAGAACAAAATATTGTTGCAGAATAAAGATCGTGACTACCAAACAGAAGACCTAGCCGACTACACAGTCAATGGATCCGATGTAAAAAACGACTGAAAGTGGCCTAATAGTCCGTCAAAGAGAAAAGACTTGATCTAAATGAGCAATAACTCATCAGGAAAAAGATAGGAAAAAAGAGAAAGAAAGATATCCAGCAATCTGAGACAGTGTTCAAACATTGCAGATTTCTAGCATTGGTGATATGTGCCTTGAAATCACGTCTTATTATCAAACATTTTGCTAATCAATCCCGGGATACGCAAAAAACCTTTAAAAAGTTTGCATCTAACAGAATTTTCGCCAAATTTTGCATGGATGTGCACGATCTAGCTGATATATATACAGGGTGTCTCAAAAAAATGTTAACACTGTTTGATTGTTAATAACTTCGTTGCTTTCATGTCTTTCGCCGAGTTTGAGGCACCATTCTGTAGAGCGAGGTTCAACTTAGATTTACAGTATGGCACGAATCATCGATCACTCTTCATTACTGTAGGATTACGGTAGGAACTTCGACAAAGATTTTAGGCCATTGGAGGCCTATTCTGCCTGGGAACAAAATCAAACAAGCCAGAGACTATTATACTATGATAATGGAAGCCGCTGATTTTGAATATGAAATTCCCACTTTACTGTGATGCTTCTTTCCAAAGTTATCCCAGGTAAACCGTAATAACTGAATTTCCAGTACTTGTCAGAAATGTGACTACACCGTCAAGAAAGCTATTTTCAGATTTTTTGAAAACAATGGATCCACATGCTAGAAGTTCATACCGTAATCCTACAGGTAATGAAGCGCGATCGATGATTTGCTCCATACTAAAATCTAAGTTAAAGCTCGCTCTATAGAATGGTGCCCTAAGGTCGGGGGAAGACATGAAAGCAAGGGAGTTATTAACAATCAAACAGTGTTAACATTTTTTTGGGACACCCTGTATATATAAAACTCAAAATTTGAAAGTGTGTTCGTTTGGTTGCTCGTTCGTTATGAAAACGCCCGTCAATGAACCGAATGAGCTGGAACTTTGCACACTTATGTTTTCGACCGGGAGGTTGTTTAGCGCTACTTTTGCAGCAATTCGTCGGACTGTTAAGGGTCGGGCATACTTCACGCGATTCAGTCGCGACGCGATTTGGCAATTCGCCAGAAGTCTTCAGATCCAACAGCCAACTGCACATGCATAGTTTGCATATAACTTACTTATGTACAATTAGATTGTGCTTACAGTGAGTAATGGACAGTTAGAATATTGCCAAGTCGCGTAGCGGCTGAAATCGCGTGAAGTATGCCCGGTCCTTTATATTATGTTATTGATTTTTAACCGTATGCCATGAAAATGAATTGTTACCAAGGCTAACAATTCGTTTACATTCAAGTAAAGAGAGTAGGTCCCATTGTGATTCTCTGCCGAAGAAGCCTGGTCAAGAGAACTAAATGAGCTTTGTTCTACGTATGATTCTCATGGAGAATCACCTGATTTACTACAGCGGTCTTTTCGTCACAGCAAAGCAAAGGTGAAACCCGATTTGAGCATTAATCTCCTACTAAGACTGTTCGACTTTGATTTTGCGATCATTTGGTGGTCCTCCTGCTGCTAAAAGATCAGTAGGAATTAATTGAGAAATTCCGAAGGGAACTGAGAGCAAATAACTTCTAAAAGGCGACAAAGTAGTAAATCTAGTCCAAACATAGGATCAGTTCTTGAAATTGAAATTAGATCTGACCAAATAGTAGACTGAGTTTACTTATACCCTGTAGCTCCATATGCGCCATATTCATTAGCAAATTCAAGAAGGATGTCGCAACCACTTTGCTGAACCGAGAAAAAATAAGACATCGAGTTCTCTCGACGTACCGTTCAATAAGCCTTAATGCAAAAACGAAATTTTTTGATGTGAGTGATGAGCTACATGTTGAACGCCTTTCAAAATGAAACCAGTTCCAAAAGGTATCGCGAAATCCAAGAATAAATCCAATAATATCGAAATCATAAAGAAAGCATGCCCCTTATAACAAAGCTTGCTAAAAGTGGAAATCTGAGGTTCATGTTGTCGCCGTTTGTATTTTGCTACTATTGGTTTAGCCGTGCTCAGAATCACATTTTTGACGCCAACAAACTTGGTAAATATGATATTTAGCAATTTTATAGAGACTCATTTTATGGATGACTCATATTTCCTTGGATATAAAAGAAATCTGTCTTTGAGCCGAGCGGAGCCGGGTGTGCCAGCTAGTAGTTGATAAAACATCAGCAACATATTTTGTAGAGATGTTGCTAAATATGATGGAGAGCTAAGCACGCTCAAGTTAACAGAAAAGAAAGCCAATATAATAATAACATGATATACGAGCAAAGGCACTTATCAATGCCGTTAATAGCTTGCAAAAAGCAAAAGAGGAACATTTCTTGCATTCCAGAAAATCTGCAACACTGATCATGAGACACTCGCTGCATTCGCAGAACGTGTCAACAATGTAAAACATTGAGAGAAGACAAGAGTAGATACTTATCAAACAGACCAAGAGCACAGAAAGACCAGACAATGGTTCAACACTTATGCAAATTGAAGAGTAATCATTGCAACCGGTGCAACGTGCAACCAGTTTGGCAGAGGCAAAAAATGAACGAAGACCGAGCGATGTCGACCAGACAAGAACAATATGCAGTTAGATACAGAAGAAATTTCAAATGAATCGATAGTAAAGGAGGAAGCTGTCACGGGGAAGTGAAGCAAAATTATCACTTTGAAACCCACAAAACTCAATCCTTCAAACAGTTTTGATCAATAAAACAGAAGTTAAGGCAAAATTTATAGTAGATGACAGCTGACTATGCCAATGTTTGAGAAAGATATACAAAATTTAAATAAAAAATAAAAATTATATGATATGATATAAGATATATGAACTTGAAAAATTGAAAAAAAAAGAACTTTTCACTTAGCAAAAAGTACCGTAAAAAATGCAAGGCATTCAAAATTTCTATGACAGGAATAGGGGGAACTGTTTCCGATAAGCTCCGCCTGCGCGGATCGCCGTTTTGAAACGTGTAACTTTGCATACGACAGTACGTACCACTTGCCCGCGATAGCGGAACCATCGGCGGCGTAACGCCCCTTCCCCGTCACTCAAATTGAGATGAGGAAAAATCGATGCTTAGAAACTTGAATGATGGAAAAGAAAACGATATAAAGCATTGACTAAGAAAATCACTGACCATAATCTCCTCATTATTCTTCGCTTTTCTCGCCGGACTCGTAGCGATAACTGCGGCGTATCGGGCGCGATTAGCGGCCGAGCGGCGGCCGCCGCAGCTCGAATCGCAACTACTGCTACTGCTACTACGTCGAACGCGACCACGACGCCTTGATCGATCCGATCCAGTCATCCAAATGAGAGGCGAAACTCACACACACACACACCTAATACCGGCAATAAAAACTTGCCTGAAATAAAACAGACTGAAAGGAACAAATAGAAAAGACACAAACACATCGCTAAACAAAAAATGACGATATTGAATACAGTATTGGAATTGAACCGTTACAATCTAAAACCAGTCAATAGCATAACTCTTTGTACTTCAGGCATACATTTTGTTGGGAGAGAGAACTGCATATACAAATCGTATTTATAATGAAAAAAAAACGCAATCAATGGCTCGCAAAAATCCAAAAATTAGGAAACTGACTACATAACACCCCTAACCCATAAACGACCCGCTTCGACACATATTCTATGGCGTTGTATACATCATAACTACACACTACTTGGTCTTATAGCAGAAACCTGCATGATTGTAGCACGCAAATCCGTAAGTAAAAATTTCATTGCTTTCGTCCAACGTTCTTCGCTATTCAACAGCATCTTGGCCGAATATTCCATTTTGTCATGCACCAAACAGTCCTTGTTGATACGATGCGGGATTTCGAAGCGTGGGTTTTGCTTCTAAAAATGCATTGATAGAAACTTCGAAAGAAGTGACATAAGCTATCCACCTGAATATGGCTACCAGCGGTGTACAAAGGCCTCCCCTCCCCCCTCCCCTTTGAAAATTACTTACATATACTACAAAAATGTGTATACGACTTGTTTTTACATGTGAATAATCAAAATAAATTCCAAAAGAAAATTCCATAAAGGCAAGCCTTGTAAAAAAAAAATTGGGGAAGCAAAAAAAGGCACACTATAAAACTTCCTTGATGCTGGATCACGGAAATTTTGGTAACATAATTTTCATTCGAACATCTACAGAAAAAAAATTGGTAGAAGAGACGAAAGTGCATCAGAACCCAAGCACAGAAAAGTTAAATTTGCAGAAAAATAACACAAAACCCGTTGCAAAGATACCAGAAAAAGATTTCTCACTCAGCAATACTCAACCTCACATCGATTACCCTTATGATTTTTGATGGGAATGAAGACAGAAAACAAAGAGATGAAGAGTGCATGGCACATTTTCGCAGTCACAACAAAACTGGGTAATTCAGCTGTTTACAGAGTTCACTCAAAGACTGTCATATCACTAGACTTTAATCTTATATATAAAGCTGAATGTCTGTTTGTATGTCTGTATGTATGTATGTATGTATGTATGTACGTATGTTCCGAATAGAAAATTCCATTTCTGAACCGATCCGGACCAAACTTGGCACACATACACTACGGGCCCCGGCGGGTGTCATGGGCTACTTTTCGTCATCGATCGATATCGATTTTATCGATTTTTATCGATTTTTTTGCTGAGTTCACCTACGGGGCTGGGAGTTGGCACAGGGGGGTAATCGAGCATGGGGATTCCGAATACAATATTGGTTTTCAGGATTATCGATTACTTTTATCGATTTTATCGATTTTTTTGCAAAGTTTGAGCTACGGGGCTGGGAGTTGGCACAGGGGGGTAATCGAGCATGGGGATTCCGAATACAATATTGGTTTTCAGGATTATCGATTACTTTTATCGATTTTATCGATTTTTTTGCAAAGTTTGAGCTACGGGGCTGGGAGTTCGCACAGGGGGGTAATCGAGCATGGGGATTCCGAATACAATATTGGTTTTCGGGATTATCGATTATTTTTATCGATTTTATCGATTTTTTGCAAAGTTTGAGCTAGGGGGCTGGGAGTTGGCACAGGGGGGTAATCGAGCATGCTGATCATCCCCAAGGGGGTGATCAGCATGCTCGATTACACCCCTGTGCCAAATTCCAGCCCCCTAGCTCAAATTTTGCAAAATCGATAAAATCGATAGAAGTAATGGATAATTCCAAAAACTAATATTGTATTCGTAATCTGCATGCTCGATTACCCCCCTGTGCAAACTCCCAGCCCCGCAGGTCAAACTTTACGAAAAAATTGATAAAATCGATAAAAGTAGACGATCCTGAAAACTAATATTGTGTTCGTAATCGGCATGCTCGATTACCCCCCTGTGCAAAATCCCAGCATCGCATGTCAAAATTTACAAAAAATCGATAAAATCAATAAAAGTAACCGATAATTCTGAAAACTAATATTGTATTCGGAATCCCCATGCTCACTTCCCCCCTGTGCCATCTCCTAGCCCTGTAGGTGAACTCTGCGAAAAAATCGATAAAAATCGGTAAAATCGACATCGATCGATAACGAAAAGTGGACTGTGACACGCGCCGGGGCCCGAAGTGTATGTGTGCCAAGTTTGGTCCGGATACGGCGGAGCCGGGTAAGCCAGCTAGTAAATGATATTAGCTTCTGTGAAAGGTAAGACATTTGTATTCCAGGCAGATCACAGAAAGAAGGCGCACATAAAAACTTCAGTAAACCCTTGAAGCTGAAAGGAAAAATGTTCTATCACTTCATCGCACCACTCGAATGACTAAACTCCGCTAAAGGCAAACAGCTTAGATCGACCATCGACGTGAGCGCGAAGAGGCAAACAACCTGGTCAGCAAAAGTTGTGCTGCTGACTAGACAGAGACACGCACACAAACACAGGCAAAACGTGTTTCAGAGTAGAAGCTTGAAAACACTTCTACACACTGCGTTGCTTTCACACGAAAATGCTATGAATTTATTGTAAAAATGTAGAGCGTGGCAACTGCTGACGTTTACAAGAAAAAATGTATTCTGGAAAATCGGCATATATCTGCCTAGATGGCGGAATGTGTTGGCTCAGCAAAAAAACAAAAGTACTTCTTGAAAGTTACTCACATAAGCTATTATATAAAAATGCAAGTGAATTACTTATACTGGTAAACGATTGGAAGAATTTTTCAAATTTTTTGAATACCAAGTTGCCCTTATAAAGAATGCAGCAGCCATGTTTTGAAAAAATTCGGGTTATGGGCCCACAAAAATTTTGAGAAGGTATCCCTGAAAAATTTTCAAAGAAATTCAAAAAAAGACCCCCTCCGCCGAACGCAGGTCCTGGGAACGCAACTTGTGGATACTGATAAGGAACATCAAGCTATTGCTTAGGCGGTACCAATGACTATTTCGTGGCCGAAAAATGGTTCCGCGACTAAACTCCAGCCCAGACCGTATTCCTTCTTTAATCTGGTCTGAAGTTTGGAGATGAATTTCTCGGGCTCGAGTAAATTACATGAGCTGCCGCTTAAATAGTGGCTTAGTTGAGGCAACTCGACCGGTTTTTCATAGGGAAAGGCCCCGGGCAGACTTCAAGCGATTTGATCGTCGCGACTGAATCGCGAGGAGACAACTGTTACAACATCATTCCATGCCGATCAACTTGCATTCGGTTGTGATACTTTTCCAGCCCGAAATTTTTGAATGTGAAATGAAAATGAATGGAAATCTTGGCGATTAGATCGCGACGATTAAGTCGCGTGAAGTCTGTCCGGGGCCAAACCCCTCCTATACATGCTTCGGCCCTGCTTTTGGAGAATTAGAAAAGTGTTATAAATGTAGGAAGTCAAAAATAGAATTGAGCACCTTATGAAATGTTTGCATCGCCGACGTTCACTAAATAGAACTCAGATTTCTACGATTTTTTAACCTCGAAAACTTTTGCTCAAATGTCTTCTTATCTAGGAATTTTTCCCATAGTCAGAAAACTGCTATCACATGGTAACTAAAATTTGTTGTGTTACCCTTACCGTGCATGTGCTCCCTGTATCATACATCAAAAGTGATAAACAACAAATCAACGCCTGATTGCCCACTCTAAAAGGGTAAACAAAGTGCCCTCGATTACTCCCTTCAACCACTCAGCCCCCTTATTCAATAAGCATAAAGCACAACTCCGCCACAGACGAAAGACACAAGATTCTCATAACAAAAGTATAGTAAAAGTATTCCAGAGTGACAAACATGCATGTCTAGGATCCGAGCAACATGTCAGTAGATGATATTTTGACTGATGGGGCATGAAGCAACATATTATCAGGCATGGATTATTGAACTCCCCCAGTCTTCAGTTTGAAACGCTTTTTATGTGGCTCATTTTGCAATTGATGCAATAATATCATTTTCAGCTTTTGAATATTAGAACACTTAAGTGAAAGAACTCAAAGCAGGCCATTGCCAAACATCGTGAAGAAAATCAGCAGACATAACAGGATGTCATTACTGGCAGAGACTTCGATGTTTGAGCAAACTTATCGATAAAGCATTCCAGAAGTGTTATTTCCGCATAATATCACTGCGAAAATTTTGAAATTGCCTTTCTTGTAAAACAAAGACTTCTGCTCGAGGGGGAGGGAGGGAGCAAAAATTTTTTTGGAATAAAGGTACGTGGCGTTAGCCACGCACTCCGAAAAAAATTTCTGGGATGCTATCCCAAATTTTTGCGGACCCTGACCCTATAACTCTTCAGAAAAAGGGTGATAACCGTAACCAAGCCCCTGAAAAAGTTTTTAAGAAGGCTAATATTGATTGAAAAGTTTGGTGGAGTACTTTGATGAGTTATAAATACTAACAAGTCTCACTTGCACATTGTTTAACCCATGTAACTTTCAAAATAGCAACCCATTCTTGGGGTGGGGGAGGAGGGGGGGGGGGGGGCGTAGCCCTCACTTGATTTATCAGCCAGGGAATATTTCAAAACACATCGCAAGCATATCTACAAAATGGCATCTTTGGTAGCCTATTGGCCTCACACGGGAATTGGAAACCTCCAACTATCAACACACGTACTCTGCTAAATGTAATTTTGATAGTCCTGTACAAAATTAAATTACCTATGAGACTGATGTGTTAAACACCCCTCTATTCAACCTTTGAAGTTGATTCACTCATGTGCAATGTGTCCATAGAGGTAAACAGTGCAAGAAGCATGCAGACTTGGTCACATTTTTATGAACTTGCTCCATTATTTTGAGCCAAAAAACAGACACCGCAAGCCAAGATAAGAGCACATGTTTTTAATAAAGAACCAATATACCTTCAGACTGCTTTGCAAGTAACATATCCGATTCATTTTGTGCGCAGCAGACTTTACAAAAACCTACACTACAGCCCTATCCAAGCTCGCAGCACAAAACTTCAAACACCAAAAACCCAACAAAAACACATATGACATGTCTAGATATGCGACTGAGATTCGAGAATCTATTCCAAGTCACAAATCCACAAGCTGAATTATCCTTATGCTTAGCACTTTATCGCCACTCAAGCGAACATCCCCGCCACATGCGACAATGGGGCGAAAATACTGCAAATATCCTTGCAGCAAGTGTTGGCAACCGAGCAGCTTCCCTGCTCAAAAACATAAAGGATACTGCACGACGAAGGCGCAATATCTTCAAGCGCCTTTTATTAGCCGCAAAGCGCATGAGGCGCAGGATTTATCGTTCATTCGTTGACCGTACGGACTGCCGACCGCGTGGCGACTGCGACGCGTGCCCTCTAAACTTGCGAAAAAGTGACAAGTTGGACCATGGCTTAAGATGAGAAGAATTCTTTGTTTCTTTTCTACATTATAAAGATGAGAAGAATCCTCTGTTTTCTTTTTATTCATCTTTCCTACGAAAACATCATGCACGCGCAGCGGTCGCCGCGCGGTCAGCAGTCGTTACGGTCAACGAATAAACGATACAATAGTGAGGATACGCGTGCATCGCATTCGCGCCCGCTCAACTAATACTGCTTCTGTACTTACGTCCTGCAGTAGCCTTTATCTAAACGATCTTCTTAGCACTGGCGGGCAAACAGCTAGAGGACGGGTAGTGAAGGACTAGTTTGCGATTCAGCAGGAAAAAAATGTTCCTTATGATTCCGAACTGCACCGAGTAAACTTTATATTCGTAAAATTATTCGATGGAAAAAAATATTAGGTTGGTGCAAAAGTTCTGTCGTTTCATTTTTGAAATCATAACTTTGCGCTGTCACAACGGATTTACTTCCTTATATTTTCATTAGAAAGAGTAAATCTTTCGCTTTCGAATGCTGTTTTGCTAAGCTTGCGCTTCACACTGGCTGCGGAGATAAAAATGGAAAACTAAGACCATATAAGCTTTGACCATTTTATAGGTCACCAAAAATCGGGAACGCTGCGAAAAATCTGAAATCGTCAGTACATATGTTTTTTGGCCTAACCTTTGCATCTGTGAAAGTGCTGTTCGGACGTCTCTGTGAGAAGTTATGATTTTCGCGAAAATTGACAAATTTATTGATTTTGGCTTTTCCATAATAGTAGACTCGATATTCATAACTTCTCACAGAGACGTCCAAACAGCACAAACTTTTCACAAATGCAAAGGGTAGGCCAAAAAACATATGTACTGACGATTTCAGATTTTTCTGCAGCGTTCCCGATTTTTGGTCACCTAACTTAAAATGGTCAAAGCTTATATGGTCTTAGTTTTCCATTTTTATCTCCGCAGCCGGTGTGAAGCGCAAGCTTAGCAAAACAGCATTCGAAAGCGAAAGATTTACTCTTTCTAATAAAAATATAAGGAAGTAAATCCGTTGTGACAGCGCAAAGTTATGATTTTTCAAGAATGAAACGACAGAACTTTTGCACCAACGTAATATATCGCTGCCGCTAGTGATCATAAAGTGATTTTTATTACATCACGCCTATTATGGCACCTTCTTTCCTACAAATTATTAACCAGCATAAAAAGCCGCGTTACGTCTTCAAAAGGCAACCAAACTAGGCAAATTTCTAGACTGTTGTTGTAGCATAGGCAAGACGTACCGGGCTGTAACAACTGAACTGACGCAGAACCACCAAACACTTTCAAATTGGTAATCATACCAATAGTGAGAATCAACAGTTAACTTACATACCTGCAACGCTGCTCGTATTTCCTCAAAGCACTGCAGATATGCCATGATACCGCTATCCATATTATTATTGCCAAATGGTTTCCAGCTGCCGGAAGCATATAAGGGATATTTTACCTCCTCACCAGTAGCACTATAATTGCAGTCTAACAGCGAATATTTGAATTATGAGTATCAAAAACTTACCGCTTTCGCTTTATACAGGAATAGCTACCCATAGTGACTAGTTTGAAATTTTCCTGCTTGAAATTGATACGATGCATCAAAGCCTTTGAAAGAAAAAAAAATCTAAGATCATATGAATCAATAATAATGTGCAAGGTATAACTCACATCCAAAAGAAGAACTAGCTGTCCCCATGCAGCGTTTATCTCCGGCCAATCGACAAGATGGTCTGGCAATCGACCAAGCCGAAAACCGTTTATCTCGCCTGCAATTTCAAATAATAAAGATTCGTTGCGAGATTCGAGCAACCTGATCGGTGAAAGCACACAATACGTTGCGCCCATTATTCGTCATAGGATTTTTCGCCAAGCACGTATTCTCAACGATTTTTTTTCTCCGAAAAGTTATGCTGGTACGATTTTACTCGTTCCTAGTACCACTCCATCTTACAATCGTTTGATAACTCCATAAGCCGATTAGTTGTAGAAAGATAAATGAACGTTCTATTTTTCTTTCACAAAAAGCACGTTTATGCCCGATTTCCACAAATCTTCAGTTGTGCATTTTTTTCAAGACCAAATAACTTTTGTAGCTGATTTTAGATACGCCTCTAACCTACAGATTTTGTAGTTTGCTTGCAACGAAATTAATGAGCGTAATGAAGGAAAATAAAGAAAGTATTTCTTTTACTACTTACTTTACTTTTACAAAACTTTTCTTCTACCGCTCGAAGCATATATCAGCAAAATCAATCAAACAAATACTGAAACGAAAACAACGCAAAAACAGAATTACTTGAAAAATTAATACAGTCAACGCAGCTAACAAGACAATTGATAAATTACGTATGCTCGAGTGCACAATCTTTGTGAAATGGTCAGATGATACCTTAAAACCATAGCGGGTTTGGGGATCGACGACTAATCCGCGCAAAACAAAAACACCCGTATATTGACAGTTCTATGGACTGTGCGTTAAATGCTACAATCACGAACAGGAGTGAATTTCAGAAAAATGACGACACGTAAGGTGCATTGTGATGAAAGAACAGATTAATGCTCACCAATAATACCATCCGTTGGATCCACCCATATATGGAAGACAAGGTCCAGTGCGTTAGTGTTAGCTAGTCGCCGATGCTGTTCTGCATAATATCTCAACTGAGCATCCGCTTTACGGGTTTGTTCGTCAATGTCTAGGAGACGCCTAGGAAAAAAGCACTATCTTCTGCACTAGAAAAATTTAGTGAAAAAAGCATTTACCTGTGATTATCTCTGAACTGGCGCCATCTGCTTGCTTCCTCTTCCGTCTTTTCTTCTAACTGAGACTTCTTTTCCAATAGTTCTGCATCGAGTCGAGACTCTTCCGCGCAAAGTTGGTCATATTGTGCCTTGAGTGCACGCTCTTCGTCCTGGATACAAAATGACTCATAGAAGCACGATTACATTTTTGCACGGGAACCATCAGTGGAATTAGCGACACAATGGATCTATAAAGCGCATGTATGAAAATAGAAAACTGTATCAAGGCGAAAGATGCAAACTAAAGAAGAAATCTAGAGAAGTTATGTCAATCCTGAAATAAAAGCACCAGAACTGTTCAAGTTCGATAGAAATGGAGGAATTACAAGACCAAATCGCATAAAGATGCATGAATTGTAAAAAGCGAGGCAACCAAGAAGGATACAACCGCACGAATTTATAGGAATAGCACAAGGAGAACAGAAATTGCAATCTGACAAGTCAATTGCATAACCTACTTCACTTCTTTATTCAACACAGCAACTGCCTGATTGAGCTTAACCAAAAAGCACCATTTATCCTACATTTCCCAGAAAAGCGCATGGCAACGCGTTTATATAGAGCAGCAAATAGGCGCGCAATGCACCGTGGTGAATAAGAAATGAACCAAACATAAAAATGCTTCGCTGAGTCACGTAATACCCTCAAACGTATTCTCACGATGAGATTCGCAAGTAAAAAATTCAGAGTTGCATATGTTGGGATCGAAAACAGTTTATCAAAAACTCGTGGAAGCACGTGCCGTCTAGCCCGACAGACGCAATAACGACTTGGCTTGGAAAACAAAACAATAGCTGAGACCAGAGGAGATTTGCGATCAACAGGGAGCAGTGACAGAAAAAAAGAGGCTGCACTGGGAAGTGGATTTTTACGTGCGCCCTATCTGAGGATGCCAGCGTTATTTTACTGCGATGTTCTCGATAAGTGACACAGCAAAAAAATTGGGATTACATTATCGATGTCGACTGCATGGAGAAAAAAATCACAATATAGGAAACAAATTTTCTGCTGTCATATTCAAAATGATAACTTGAGTATTGTATGACAATGGACTTTTAGTATATCGCTTGCAAAAAAGGTGAATTTATTGGGAATTACGAACTTACAAGTCGCTACGATTACCCTAGTCTTAGGGCTAGCATGAAGAATTTGAGAAAGTGTGGTACTAGATTTTCCAATATGTAACCATATATGTGCAGCAATTGGTGACTAATGCATATGAAAAGACAGATAATGGAGGCAGTTTCAGTTTTATATGCGAAAAATACCATAAAAAGCGACCAACAAGGCAAAGTGACATGGAAGCAAGATGACACATCACCAAATTATTGCTCTAATTTGATCGCAACTTCTGCCCCTCTAAAGCAAAAGGACCGGCTCAAAGAATATTCCATTAATATAAAGATTCAAAGTTCAAAGAGGTTGTAATGATGAACGATAAATAATCTCCAGAAAAAATACAATAATCTCGGAAGTCTCACTTGTAGGTTCCTCAAAGTTTTCTTCAATGACGCGACATCCGCATTCGAGTACTGCTCTTTTAGCATATCGATTAGTTGCCTATAAGTTGCACAGTCATCCTCGAGCAATTTCAGCTGCTGATCCATGCCGACCAACAGCTCATCGGAACATTCCTGAATATTTCGCAATTTGGGAAGAACATACTACAACAGCAAGGACACGTGGAGTATCCCAAAAAACGTGGAAGTTTCAGGAGAGATAACCATATGGGCGGCATACCTTGCATATCGGCGCCGTGAGGGAACTTCAGCATCACAAATGAGCTCCATGAGGTTGCATGACTGTCCTGCCATAAGTGACGTATTCTCAGCTTCTGAAGACTGCAAGGGTCATAGACACGAGCAGTTAAATTGTTGTGAACAGTGCAGTGTAAATTTGGATTTTGTAGAGCCGTGACAAAAATAAGATATGATAAATTTGCAAAACCAAAGTAATCAAGGAAAATCTGATTTTGCGCAAAATCCTGTGCAGCAAAAATAGCTCGAATTCTCTTCAGCCATGAAAGATTCTCTGAAGTATAGGCAATTTCAATGGTGTCAGCCATATATATCCGCGTATCCTTATATGGATGGTACGTCAAAGTGGATGGTTCAAAAGAAATCTCTGCAAAAATCTCCAAATTTTCTCTTCTCTCTCGCTTGCTTTCTTCATGTAACTGTGCTTGTGATAGATGTAACCGCGCTTAATCAGACAAAATCTAATTTGTGCAAAAATGTTGCTTTTGGAGAGAGTTATAACATTTTCAATTAGAAAATTGGGAAATCGGACCTTTCGGAACAACTTAGTGGATTGAACGATGCTGATTTGCGGTTAAATCGATCATGGGGAGTTTAACTTCTCGTCTAAAACGAAAAATGACAAGAAAATTGGCTGTACAGGACGATACTAGGATGATAAAAAAAGATGTTCATCAGGCGTTCGAGAGCTAATACTTATGAAGCAAATTCCCAAAATGTCAGTAAACTTCACTTTGTGAGCGCGATTAAGCAGGATAATCATATTAATGATTCGAGAGAACAAAGAAAAAAACTAATGCAAAACAAGCAACGTACAAATAAAAATAAAGAAAAACCCAAGACAGCAACTCAACATACCTTTCTATCCCTGGGACCTTTCAATTTCACATCGATTTTCATTGGGCTTTGACAATTCAAGCACATAAGCGATCGTGTTTCCGTGGCCATCTCTTGAACATGAATGAATTAAAACTGAGATGAAAAACAAGTAAGAATCGATAAATGCTGACAAATGATTTCCAGGAAATTGCGCCATATATTGAACCAAAAATGTGCAGATTGATAGACAACGTGAAAGTAGATAACTGGTAAACGCAAATACGTTATAAATTGAAGCGATCTTTCGAAATGAGGAAAAAGTGATGACAAGACAGCTGCAGGCGCACAAGAAATGACGCGTCATCGTCGCGGCGGTGACGCGCGATCGCACGCGAGCTGCGCGGCGTCGCAGCAAGCGTTAGAACATTCTCTCCGTGGAACTTTTTCGGAAGTTTTCGAATTTAAATGCGCGTAGCTCAAATTTAAGGTACGGATAGTCAGTTTATCAGGCTACGCAAGCTTATCCATCTACTGCTGTTATCACTACAGAAGGACCTGCAAGCCGTTGAAAGCACGCGCCAACAATTATCAAATAGGTCAATTACGCCGAATGGACTGTAAAATGCGAGTATGACGTCTTAGCCACTCCGATTGTAAAACAGAAATTTGTCGCGCAACAACTTGCTTTTTGAGGAATAACAAGGATCAATCCGAAGATTATCGCTCTACCAATCTATAGTTCATTTATAAAATCATGACGACGGATTTTGCTGCGGACTTTGCGCACACAGCGGCATAATACGCTCATAGAAAAATGCGTCACCTCAACGATCAGCTCACTTCCAGTATCTAAATATTATCATATGTAAGCAAAAACCAGTCGACTAGAGATGAAAACCAAGAAAATGCGATTTTCGGAAGTGGCGTGCGTGTAGCGCGCGGTAGCGATCGTTACGATTTTTCAAATGCCCTATACACTCTGGATCTTCTGCTTGATATAGTGTGCTTGCGGTGCCGAGAGTTTGCGGCTAATTTTGCTCGTGAAAAATAGCCACGCCAATGATTTTGCGCGCTCACGTGGTTGGCTTTACGGGCCCGCATCCCTGTTCACGCGCTTTGCAGCAAAATCTCTCAAGCGAAAAATCTATTATGCTGTATGTCCAAAATATTCTTGCTCAATAAGTTGGGAAGCCATCAGTGATGCGAGTTGGGCAACATCCTCACCAAATTTGCTTTCGCTATCGATAAACTAGGTTCTGCTGTGCTTTTTTACGAGCAATTTCCTTTCTGGCCAAGTATTCTGCTGATTTGAATTTCGCATAGAGATTATAATGTTACGATTTAGAGCGGCAAAGATAATCCAGCAAAAACTTCGCAACATGACTATGAGAAGATTAAGATGGGAAAAACCCATGGAGTCAAGTGATCTAAAATCGAACTGATTTTGTTGAAGTCCGCGATAAAGGCAAGCTGTTTATTGATGCAGCGCGGTTGCGATGCAGTTCTGCAGAGAAGAAGTCTGAGCGGTATATACAAGACGTACTGTCAGGTCAACAGTTTACCTGGAAAGGTTTTGCAACACAAAAAATCGTACTGTGAATAAGACCAAAACAGTTTCAAGCACTAGCCGGCGTAAAAAGGTCTGCGCAAATCTTGTGCAATAAAGCGTTGCGCATTTTCACACATCATCAGTTAAATAGCTGCACACATAGCTTTTAATTTGCAACGTGGTGCCCTACGGACAACATTAACGCGTAAAAAAGCCATGCTCACAACATTTGTGCGTGAAATATGGTCGTAGTGAGCATATATTCAGGTTTTGCGACCTATGCTCATTTTTCACGCGCAACTCCTGTCACCAACGTAAGAACACTAAATTACCCACCAAATTACTTGACAATGTGACCGCTATCGTACAAAATCCATTACTGAACGAATCTTCCCCTTCCCCTATCCCCCGATAAAAGAGTTTCGCTTCTTTTGATCAGTAATCGCGATCAATCTTCGAAATGAAAATAACATCCATTGACTATAATGTGACCTTCACGGATAGGATCTTTGTCTTGAGAGGAAGGCACTTTTTTGCCGAATTAGTTTTCCACTCGAAGAAGTGAGAGCAGTAGATACGAAGTGATTATTGATTGAAAATCAATTGAACGCATGACTAATAAGGACTATGGATTAAGAAGGGATGATCAACCGACCTGCCTCATCGTTCGACACCGTTCCCATGCTCTGGTTGTGGATTTAGATTCACGTTCCCAGGATGAATAGGAGTAAAAGAATTAGCACAAGTGTTGAGCTGGTTTGCAGCCGAGTGTTTCCAAGTGACAGCCGGCAACTCATTGCGGGGCACGGGGGGAGGTCTGTGTGTGTCGGGTTTTTATACGTTGTGGCCTTGTGCCAGGTGCCGCGCAACGACCATTTCGCGCCAGCGCCCCACAAGTGGCCCCCGAAAACCGGTAAGAAAACAACGTTCTCGAAAATGCTGAGCACCCATCACCAATGTGGGCCCGAGCCCAGGTGACGATATTGCCCTGGGATCTCCGTTCGCGTTCCGCCGATGAGGGGAGGTGGCGGGCTCAAGGTGAAAGAGCAATGATCTCGCTGTTGGGCTAAAAATCATTCGCATTCCTAGATAATTTTTCTCAAATTGAAAAATCGATGGGAATCATTATTTGACAGATGTTTTAATGGGGAAAGACAGGTGCCAATATATAATCGGAACAAACACAAGAGGAACAAAAACTATAAAAATAGTATAAAAATAGCTGGTGATGCATTACTTCTCAACCTAAATAAATTACACTAAGGTTTGTAATCAAGCGTTAAGATAGTCCGGGTAGCTATAAATCTCTCGTTGGGCTCTTTTATTTGCAAAACAAAATTGAGATTTGAAGAGGGAGATTTATTACGGCAATGAAAAAGTTCTTGACGGAATAGTTGAGTAATGAAGATTACTTGATGAACTTGAATTATTTTATTTCAAGGCTTGTTATTAGATAAATTTACGGTTTATGTTCTAAAAAAACATTGATTGAATGATTATTGAAAGTTCCTTTTCCTTTTTTTTTCACAACCACTATCTTTGTTGAAGATAAGTTTTAGATCAAAGAACCCAAATCTTCTCCTATACTTGATTATAGAGTCAAAAAATATTCAGAAATCAAAAAAAAATGCATTGCGATTAGCAGTCGTTCTCATTCCACAGTTAATGTGTGTAATTGCACTATTTTTGAATTTACACGAACCATGCCGTGGGAGTATGGAGTTCCTTCTTTTATTACATGCAAGTAATGGCACTTGTTCATCGTTTTATGCTAAATCAGTCATAATTTTATTATTCACTTTCATTTTCTGTCGTTTTAAGCCTTCAGTCATGAGATACTTTTATTTACTGTCACCAATGTTCTAATAGCGCCGAGAAATTCAAAAACGGTGCATTCACATAAGACCAGATCAGGACGATTTTACACGATGCCTCTGAGTCGCTGTGCTGCTCGCCGCATCAGCTCTTTTCAGCGTGATCGCAGCCGCGACAACCGCTCTTCGCCTTTATTAAAACTCCTATCAACTATACAGTGAAAACAATGATGCCAACTACTTCAGTAAATTCACATGCTTCTAGTTTCTGAAAGCTGATTTTCCTTGAAAAATATTTAAAACCATTTTTACTTGTAAAAATAGAATCCATGATTACTGTAATTCTGGGCAGATAATTCCTATTAATACTGTGGCCAAAGCTGCTTTCTCGTTGAAATAGGCTTTGCTATTTCGAAGTAAACTACTCATTGTCTCATTTGTTCGTTGTTCTGGAACTTCACCAGCTTTTGGAATATACGCAGACGATTTGTAACAGTTGTCGTATAAATGCTGCCCTCCATCAAACGAACACGTGCTGATAGTATTTTTTGTTGTCGAACCAACTCACGGTCTATCAGCTATCAACCAGAGATGAGGAAAATCAGGGCAAACACAAGGAATAGCTGTTAGAGCAATTTGGTTGTTTGGTTTGAAGATTTGAGAAAGCAATTCGGTTTTATGCGAATGACAAAGGTAATTCCGTCAATGACTAGGGTAAACAAACTCAAAGTAAGACATTACCAGTTTTTGTGGTAGGGTGATGTGTACCGAAGGATGCGGTACAAAGACGCAAATACTTCAGCAAACTAGTATATAGGTTCATTCTCTCGTCCATTAGTAAAAAATTATAAATTGGCGACGCCTTTAACGAAGGGAGAAAAATTATGATTAACGACCACATTCAAAACCAAGATAAACCGGATACTCCATCGCAATTTTTCACGCATCCTACAGTTCATTTTCAGTCAGCATTTTGCGCCGGTAAAATATGAAAAAAAACTTTCTGCGATTTATTTTATTCACTCCTTCCTTCAATAAATCTTAAAATGCTGATGGGAGATACTTTTTCTGTACGGAACATAGTAAGAAAACTGCAACAGATCAGTTCCCGACCTTTTCAGAAATCATTGTCTCCCCCGTCGCAAAAAGGCAAACTGGAAAGTTCTTCAGTTTTTGCTTGAGATTATTTAGTTATAGAGTAAGCAGAGTGCAAAAAGAAATTTTGAAATAAGAAAATGCTCTCATTAATACTCTATTCACCGCGTTAAAGTTCAATAAGTATGACGAGCTTGGTGCGTCCGCGACTTCCGCACCATTTGCGCGTGAAAAAATGCTACGGCTATAACGCCACAAATTGCGCGTGTAAAATAGCCCGGGTTTGGTACCCCAGGCTCGTTTGCTTATGCGCAAGTGTTGTCATCACTGCAGGAACACTACACTGACAGTCAACCCTAGTAGCTTTGAAATTTAATATCGCATATAAAACAATAGCGACCCAGAAAACATCTTAGCAAAAGGGAAAAGCGAAAGGCTGGATAAAACCAACAAAGGGGGAAGGGGAAGGAAGGGAATGGTCAAAAAAATTTCCAAAGTTTCTCTTTATTACCCGTTAATGTTGAACAGTTTTTCTGCTTTATACAACAAATCAGCTTCGTAAAAAAAACTTTGGAAGATGATTTGAGTATTCCGGTATTATATCTAAGTTCGCTCGGAAAGAGGTAGCCAAGCCTAAATACTCAAATAATCCTCATTTATCTTTTCTCACTTTTCAAACAATTGCTTCCGGTCCTGCAAATATGCCATGATTCATATTATTATTATTAGGATTATTATTATTACATTTATATTATTATCATCTATTCTGTGACTAGGAGACGCGAAACCGCAATGCGGACATTGTCTTGACAAGTTTGAGTTTGTTTTTCCCTGTTTCCAAGGAGTGAATAAACCCAGCCGAGATAAGTAACAAGTATAAACCTGCTAGGTGCACGATAAGGCCTGTTTAGCCAATGTGTGCAATGCGATCTCGCGTCTCCTGGTCATTGAATAATACTGCTTTTATTCATTATTATGACGGGACTAATTTCGTGATTTGAAGGTTATATTTCTGAAGGAATTTTTTTTGAGGATGATTTTTGGACTAAGGTGATTCAGGATCCAGTTTCCTCTGTAATCCTAGGCTCCAAATCACATTGATCTCCCATTAATGTTCCCTCTACGAGCCCATAAATCTCGTCGCCATCTGACTTGATGAAGTGATTCTTCGCAGCAGGTTATTGTTGAGGTGGCAATTAAGCGCCGTCTCAGCTCTTCAGCCGCGGTTTGACCAAAGATCCGCTCGTTCTGCCGTAGCTCGTTCCTTCGCTGGTTCGCCCCTGGCTGCAGCGTTCATAGGTCGCTTGTATCAGTTTGTGCCACTCACATGGAACGCCGAACGCCGAATGCCAAACAAGCACGAAATCCGCGCTCGAAAGCACATGTCTGAGTGGATGAGTGGATATTCAAGCTGAGCGTTTGGGCTGCTAGGAGACGAGGTGATGGCTATGGGAGAGCAAAGGGGTGAGGAAATGATTGGTCGAGAATTTCTTGCCACTCAAACTGCCATTTAGATATCAGTTGTTGCCCAGTTTCTATAGTGAAAGACTTTTCGCGTTTCACATGATATAAAATCTATGACAATGAATAATCTCAAAAAAAAAAATTGCTAATTGACCTTAGCTGATAATCAAACACAAACATTTTGCATGATAAGTTTATTGTACGGTTACGGTAGGCGTATAATAGGCAATTTACTCGAAATTTCGCACGGTAAGTAGTTTATATGGGATGACTTTGTAAAGCAGGTATCTCTCTATAAAATCATTCTATATACCATACTGTATATCCAGTGGCGTACCAAGAATTTCCGTTCGGGGGGGGGACAAAATTTTTTTGATATACATGCTGAGATTTTTGCAGGCCCACACCCCGAAATTTCAAAAAAAAAAAGAGGTAGCGGCAGCTACGCCCCGGAAATATTTTTTTGTAAGGATGAATTGAATTTTTAAAAATGTGTAAACAAGTCGCTTGCACATTTTTATAACCCATGTAATTATTTTAAAAATTTCGCGATCTAGTAAAAGAGTACCAAAGTGCAAGATTAATCTCTCAACCGTGACCATTTGAACAAAATCATTATAGACAAATTCTTGCTTACATTTATGAATTTTTACCTTATACATTCCGTAATTTCATGGAAAATTCTCTCACAATGATAAGACAAGTCCATGATGAAAGTGTCAAATATTGTATGTGATTACATAAAACTCAGTGTGAGTCATTAGAGTTCGTTCCGAAAAATGTGGCCAGCGCTAGGAAAACTTCAAAATTTCCTATAAAATGTAGCAACTTCTAACAACTATTCGGGATATCATAAGTATAATGCAACGGAAATAAACCTAGATTTGCACAAAGCGACAGGCGATATAGTGATTTACAATTATCGCCTGCAATGGGCGGACACGCCCACTTGTCACTCTTTAGTCATGCAGAGATTGCTGAAGTTTATCTTGGTTAGGAAAGTGGGGAAGGGGGTGTGAGGGTAGGGGGAGGGGGAATGAAATAATCTAACGAGCTGAAAAATAGTCAAGACTTAACTATGGAAGAAAATTGATTCGATTTTTTCACAGTCCATTATTCCTAGATTCATGGTAGCAGGGGTTCCTTAATGTCAGAAATAATAACCGTAATCCCGTCATTCATGCACAGTAATTCAGTAACTAATCGACAAAAAAAGCAAATTCGTGCGAGGTTTGCTGCATATTTCAGCCATGAAAGCTGATGAAAAATTACAAAAAATTGATCAATCAATATTGAATTGAAACTCCACAGTTGGAATTTAGTCATCCTTAATGCACTCTCGACAGCCCACAGCAATAGACGAATACTTCTTTATTTTTTCAACAAAACTTGACAGGAAAGAACATTCACTGGGATGTAAACTTGCTCATAAAAATACATTCCAAAAGGAAAGAAAAGCAAACACACATGGAACGAAAAATCAATAATCGGAAAGTATAAACCCTCATATTCAGTACAATACATCAAGACCAAATTATCTAATTGACCGGGTAAACAATTCCGGAAACTGACCCAAAGGCAACTATGAACTACCTCAATTTTATTTACTATAATACATTATGACGATAGAAAGTTATGCGTTACTATTCAAACTATTAGCACGAAGAACTTACCTCAAAAGGTTGCAATTATTATGTAAATTCACTCAAATCGATAACCTCTTTTGTGCAGAACTTGTTTCATGTATTCGATCTTGTTGATCTCGTCCTTGGATAGATTGGCTGGTTTTGTCTGGAAAACAGGAATACTAAAAAAATCGGAGTTTTAGCATAAGCTTAGGTGAAAGCTAACAAACTCAAATGCAAGGATGTAATGAAATAGCAACAATATTCCGATTAAAAAAGAGAATTTATTTACATACAAAAATGCAATGAAACATGAAACTCGTCTTGTTCCATAACTTACAAGCCGGGCTCCCGCATCGAAGGGATGCTAACCTTTACTCAAAACCCAACTCATTCCTCACCTTCCCAAAAAAAAACTTTTTCCGAGGATGATAGCATAAGCTATGAATTCATACAAACAACTTGGCTCGTGTGAATGTTGAAGACATTTATGCGTGAATCATTCTCCCAGCCCCTCTACTTCCAAAATATAGGGGAACATTTCCAAAATATGGATTCCCAGATAGGATTGATAGTGGTTGATTGTATCTTCTACACCTTCAAACTACTCGAACAAGAAACAAAATTTTGATAAAAATAATTACCAAAGTAATAACATTTCCCTCTGCATCCAGCACATCATCCGGTTCCTCTTCCACTAATCGGCATCGCAAGCTCGGTTTTGCAAGGATCAAGGCTGCCATATATTTATAGTGTGATTCAATGTCAGCCAACATGTATTGTGCAATCCCTTCATCAAAGATCTATAAGCAACAATAAATAAAAAACAACAATCAAAAATTTCCTCTTGCCAACCTTGATAGACCCATCGTGCTCCCAATTTGGATCCCATCGTTCAACAAACATCAGAAGTCTAGAGGTGTCGAACTCAGGTATGGTAGGACGAATGAGCCTTGTGGATACGTCTTTTTCTCGTCCCATCTGGAACAATTTACTACATACTATGACTATTTTGAATCTTTACATTCTCATTGTATAGACGTCTACTCCATAAACATAAAAAGCAGATGTAGCATATAACAAATATTATTTGAAATGAATGTAAGTTGGAATACGCAGATAGGTTGAAGGCAACGTCTACTTTTACGCACCGCTAGTAATAACAGGTTCCTAGAGAAAGTGCTGGTACACAAGGTCATAAAAAGACACACCATAAATATAGACTGAACTTCGACGGAACCTAAGGCATCGATTATTCGAAAAGTAAAAATTGCAGTGAGTAAGAATTTTCGGAACCGGTCACAAGGTAGAGGGATATATGGAAAGTAATTTTATTCAGACTGACAAGTATGCAGATGAAAATTTCATATGCAATTCAAGAACTTGTGTAATAAAACAAATTGAGCGTTGCGTCTGCAACGTGGCGCGGTATCGTTTAACCCATTGACGTCGACACGCACCACCGGTGGCCCACGCACTTTTTGCTTCGCGGACGATGTGGACCACCAGTGGCTCACACTTTTTGCGGAGGCATGTCCTTTCCGGTAGAATTTTTTCTTTGATTTTTCGGCACCCGGGTAGTCTACGGGCTTTCCGGATCCGTAAATTCTGTCATCCAAGAAAAGGCATAGAGAAATTTACGAAATAACCCTACATCTCATCAATAACCACAAAATAAATAACCACGAAGGTGTTGTGCAATATCGCGCCGTCCCACAGCGCAGCCACGCAAAATCAGGGACGCTGTCGTCGATGGGTTAAGCGAAGCATAATCATAAGGAAAAACCGAAGCATTTGTACGCTTCGATTAACACGTTAGGCAAGTATAAACACGGGTTGACTCTTTATAGTAGAGCGAAATTTTCTACAAATAATTAAACTTATGATGGGGGTAGAGGGGAGATGGCCTCTTTCAAATATCGGGGGCATTAGCCCTTATTCTCTACTCCAAAACAAAAACGGTGAGGGAGAGCGTCTATTTACGGCATAATTCTACTTATGGGGAGATGGACTTTTTTTTGGGAGTAAGAGCGAGTCAGAATAGGTCTGTGTATTACATTCTCTTTACACTGCAACAAGTAGTGCTAAAAGAAGGTCTGAAGAAGAAATGTCAAATTTCAAGAAAAAAAACGGAGAAAACTGTAGTTACGATTATTGTCCTAACGCAACAAATCCCCTAAGTTCAACTAAGCAAGACGCAAATTTAGGATAATTTGGGATCAACATTTCTCAAGTACAATCCGTAAACATTTCTCAAGTACAATCCGTGTGATTTTGGTCATAATGAGAAACTTCCAGCAAACAGGATGGCAAGAGTATGACGTGGACTTCCATCAATTACAAATTCTTAATGCATGGCATTTGGTGTCAAATAGATTCAAAACGGACCATTTGAGATCGCGCATCAATGAAGTGAAGTGATTGGCGAATGAACTGCGCAAGTGCTTGCATAATTACGAAGAATATGATGGGTTGTGGAATGTGAATGGGCTGCCAAAAAAGGAACGATGACTTTGACTCAGCTTTATATTGACAGCCGAAAAGTTGGAAAGATGAAGAGGCAGAAGAAGAGAAGAGAAGGAAGAATTACTTGACGGATTATGTTATTTGTGATTGTTAAAATTTATAACTCAATTAATGGCTTGAGAAATTACTCAAGTTTTCAGGATTAGTAATTTCACGGAGTTACCAGAATTAAGTTATTATTAAAGAAAGATTTCAAGCCACGTAAATCGCGATCTCTGATTGAAGCTAAGGCGGCAATATTTCAATTTTGAAATTCAGAAAGTAACCCCAATTAATCAATGATCATGAAGAAACGGCTAAAAAATAATAGAACGGCCAAACTACTCGAACAAAATTTGAATTTTGGCACTGCTCAAAGTCGAAAATGTGCAGCAAAAGAATAAAATTAGTTTCACAAGCCATATCAATTCCAGGGCAAAACTAAGGAACAAAAATCGAATAAGAAAAAAAACGGGCCCACCTACAAAATTCCGAAAAAAGCTCAAAGAAAAGATGGAGAGAAAAGGTAAAAGGACAGATTAAAGCTTTCAAAGTGCTTCAGATCATCAGAACAAACTGATATATGTAGACTGTAAGCATATTTTCTCTTTCTATAACACGAAAAACAATTATAAAGCAGCTTTACAGAGGAATTGGACCGAGGATATGGTCAAACTCCAGAAAGGCCAATTTACGCCAATGTGGCGGCTAGATAATAATGCTGAGACTCGCAATAAATCGCTTAAAGTGAGAAAAATCGTCTTAATTTCCAAGGAAAGCGTCAATGGAGCTAAGCCGCATCCGGAACTCTTTCGCATACGAAATGATTCTTCTAATCAATGTAGAAAATAATGTGCTGAAGTTTGCAAAGCAAGCAAAGCATCGTTTTTTTTTTGCATTGGGCATCCGTATTTTGTGAATCTTAAAGCCGCAATTAATCAGCTGGAAGCGTCTTTAGGAGCTTAAAAAGTGATAAACCAAACTTTGCAAATTTTATTTAAAAAACAATAGAAGTTCTTTGTGTCGGTTTTTCGCCATATGTTTTGAGCTTCTCTTCCCGTACATTTATTCAGAGTGCTTCGTTTACCTTGACTTTACACATATTATTCTCGTCGATCACCACTGCATAAAGAAGTACTGAGTCTGCAATTTCACAGATGAGATTTTGATACATTGATTAAGGTAAAATGAAAAAGAGAAAAGAGAAAGAGAGAATTTGAATATGCAGCAGCCTATAAAACTGCGCAAATGTTTTTACTTGCAGATGATACAGGAAATCTGGAATTTTTCAAACGAATAACTTTGAGAAGTGCTTCCGGGGGCGTGACGTGACTGTAATAACTTTTTTTTAAATCTCGAAATTATAGGCCCGGAACAATTTGGATAACATTCTATGAATTTTCCGGAAAATTTCATGATTCAGCGTCACCCCCCCCCCCCTCCTCCTCCTACTCCAAAAACGTTTTTATACCATTGCCGGAGATATGACTGATTGATTACCATTTACAACAAAACGGCAAAAAAGAGAGTAAACTTGACAAACTTCCGAAAAAAAATTTGCCGTTCCGAACAGCAGTCAAATGTGATAAGAAAAAGTGCATGCATTGCTATGAAGCAGCGAACAGCCTAGAAAGTCTCTAACAGGGAAGACATCTTTTCAAACAGAATGGTGAGGTTTTGATGGAAAAAAGTAGAAAAGGAAAAAAATCAAAAGAGCTCAACAGAAATATGATTTTCATGTTTTGAAAGCTGCGAATGATCTGAATTCTCTGCAAATCTCATCGAATATATGCACCAAGGTTCCCGCAATGAATGCGAAGAACTGAATGACTGAAAAGTTGCCTGCTTTGCTCAGCTAAGCATTCGTGAGCAAACATAGCTATCCAATTTCGACCTACAGACATTTCTTGTTCAAAAATGTCAAGCATTCTGAAAGCTCTCTGACAGCTTCAGATAGGGCCTTTTGTGAAAGGTCAAGTGATTTTGGAGAAAACTAGATTATCCACTGCGAATCTGGAAGTGCTTGACCAAGGTACAAAAAGACAAATTGAGATATGAGGTCTAGATTTGCAATGAAATCTTGCTCACACAAAAATCTTAAAGGCAGCGTCCAGGCAAATCTGAACCTCTGAGGCCCTCACTTGGAAAGTAATTTTGAGGCCCTAAATAAGACCCTGCCCAAGGGCAGTTCAGATAGTGCACTGTTAACATATTGGACTCCAAACTATGCCCCGTGACCGTATTCCCATGGACTCATGGCTCGGCACATCAGTTTCGCGTGGATCCTCGCGCGAAAGCGCCACGAATCCATGCGAATACGATTACGAGGTATAGTTTGGAGCCCAGTATTTTAGCCGTGAGTGCACTGTCTGAACTGCCGCTTGGGCAGAGTCTTATTTAGGGCCTCAAGATTACTTTCCACGTGAGAGCACCATAGATCCAGGTTTACCTGTGGCCGTATTCATCAACGAACCCAGTGGGTTCCGGAACCCACTGCGTTAGTGCTTTTGATGAATATCGATTCTACCCTGGAGTAGAATCGATATTCGTCAAAAGCACTAACCTAATGGGTTCCTTAACCCACTGGGTTCGTTGATGAATATGGCCACTGGACGCTGCTTTTAAGGATCATGGTTGGTGTAGCGAAGGTAACTCCGTGTTTTGTTACTTCAAAAATTTCATGCACCGCTGCAAGCAGCAAACAAAACCTAAAGCTGCATTGAGATATTTGCCTATGTAAGCGCAGTTTCAGCGCCTCGCCGGAAATCAGCCTGACCAAGTGGGACGCGACCACGTGGGTTGCGGCACGGCACCGGCACGGTGCTGGCGATGCGTCGGCACATAGGCGACTCTAACCGCTAATGCTGCAAATTCGGAGGAGAAGTTCCTTTGCTATGCGAGGAGCGTCGGCAGAAACATCGCATGAATATAAGATCGATCAAGAAATAAAAAAATTGACTTCTGTACTAGTTGTACTCAACCTCCTTTTACACTATCGCGGTATGCGACTTCCCCACATACCTAAGTCACATGCAAATTATCAGTGGCCCACTTGAGAAAATCAACTGCCTTTGCTGTCCTACTTTCTCCTTGTAATAAACATTTCTTTTTTATTCAGAACATCTGTTTCTGCTCCAAGTCACACTTAAAAACAGCCACAAAAAGCATTCGCTCAGCTATTGCATCGTGGTAAACTAGTATACTTCTGCAGATGTTCTAGAGTAATTCCAACATGCTGCACGGAAATAATGTACACAACTTGACAAGATTTTGTGAATGCTTTTGTGATTTAGGACTTAGGATGTCAAGGAGTTCTGTAGAGCATTATTTAAATACAAGTGATAAGGTTCCTAAGCATCTGAGACGATATACATTTCGGCAAAAGCACAAATTCGTCAACCGTAATCTTTCTTACAAGCGATCTAAGCAACATACGCTTTGCTCCGCACTTGCAAGCTAATTACAGAGTTACTCGT